CTAAACAAACGCTATAACAACGAACGTCAATAATACTTCTAACTGCAGTTCAATTACTCACTATCTACACACACATTACATTACATTCGCGTCACGTTGTCCCCTCTTATATATACCAAACTACCCTATATCTAGCAAATACTAGAGCATTCGCCAAGATACGGGATGGTTCTAGAAACGTGGCGTCACTGTAGTCATGTGATCTCGATGACGCAACACTATCAATAGTTGCGACATACTACTAGTTTCAGTAGTCGTTGGTTTTGGTTTCCATTTTACTTATAAGGTGTTTCTAACAAAAATGTCTCTTCCCTCATTGTTAGCGGTAATCTAACGGGCTTAAAACGCTAAAATCAGGGGTTCGATACCTCGTGGTGGACATAGCTCAGATATCCTATTGTGAAGCTTTGCGCTAAAAAAAACTAAGAGAAATGCGAAAGTAATATGTTTGTTTGTTTGTAGTTATGCACAAAGCTACACAATGGGCTATCTGTGCTCTGCCCGCCACGGGTATCGAAACCCGGTTTCTAGCGTGGTAAGTCCGCAGACATGCCGCTGTGCCACGGGGTGGGTGGGGGGCACGAAAGTAATATGTCCGTAGAAATCGTGATTTCACGCTTGGAGCAAAATATACCATTTTCACGGTAATAAAAAAATTAATCACTAAATAACTGAACATTTTATTCAGATACAAGCTAACGAATGTCTGAGAAACGTTGTCTTATCCAAAAAATTTAAATAAAGAATACTGAAATTTTAATTTTTCTCTGCAAAACGTTCTAAGTTCATAAAACGGTATTTCATGTTTTCGATGGACGATTCAATTAGGTTACGACCGCTTATGCTTTATACAACTTAACAATAATAAAAATAATAATAGTTTAGACGAGAATACATGAGGTGGATAATGATGACATATTAAGGAGTAGAAACTGGTGCGAATGAGGGTTTAAGAAAACTTTGACCTACTTAAACTTGTGTACTGGCCTCACTGTTAAGCCTAACTCATGAAATGTTAAGCAACGTTTATCTTTACAAAAACGAACACAAGGCATTAACCTACAGTGCAGCGTTCAGTAACTTGAACAGAGCCATTAGTTAGCTCGATAGTAGTAGGATTAAGCAACTTATTATGTAAAACGTTTAGTTTTAATTAGTAACTAATTCTTATCTGTTCGGAAATAAAAATGATCGCATATTAAATCATCACAGAAAAAAGTTGAACAGCCACTGCTACACATGAATATAAATTAATTCTAATCAGACAGCTAACTAAGCCTACACGATGTAATCATGCAGTCACTGTCAGTTTGTTGCTACCACGAGAGAACAATGCAAATTGTATGCGGTATCCTATCTGTATCTACTTAAAAACTTAAAGATAATTTCAGCATGTTTGATAAATAGTTTTCAACATGAGTGAAGTTGGGTAATTAATACAAACGTCGAGAAACGCTACTTCCTTACATTTATAAATCACAAATTCAGCCTTTATTACCTCTAAGTGTTGTTATCCTTTATGCTTTGGCGTGACCTAGTAATTAAGGTGTGTAACACAACATAACACATTATAAAGCCAGGAAGTTGTAAGTAAGTAAGTAAGTAAGTCTACGTGTTCTATAGGGAATTTGACTGTCATTCTTATAAATCGCTCACGGCCTCAATGTGCTGAGCGAAGTTTTTACGGCAGCCGGACGCGAACAGGGAATTCACGGACTCATAAATCAGTTACTTACGTTCTTACAACTTCCTGGCTTTATAATGTGTTATACTGTGTACTTACTTACGTTCTTACAACTTCCTGGCCTTATAATTTGTTATATTGTGTTACTTACTTACGTTCTTATAACTTCCTGGCCTTATAATGTGTTATATTGCGTAGGCTATTACTTGTCTTACGCATGTCCTGAATGTTGAGTGAATTGAACAAATTCTGTCCACGAATAAAACAAATGTAATGTACAATAGCTGTTACAGGATCCGGAACATTTGTTAGGAGACAGTGTTATAATGGGCCTCGGTTCTTGATGGATAAGACTCTGATTGGCGCAATAATACAGAAAGACCTTTTGTAAATAGTACTAATACTAACTATTCGTCAAAATCTTTTAACATTTTTAAAACAGGATAAATTATCATGAAGTGATCACAACAGAAGTCCTCAAGACCAAACTTTTGTATTTTATATATATGGTCAAAGCTACTAGGAGTATCAGATACAGTCTCTAATTTTAATTACTGACCATAGTGAAGGTAGCCAGACATCGGCACTCTACAATCCTCCCCTCCCCATGCTAAGGGATTGATTTTCACTCTTATAACCCACATCTTAGAATGCGGGTAATATTTTTGGGTGTTGTACAGACTCTAACCCAGTTTGAACATCATCTGGCAGCTTACGACTACTTGTTCAATACAATTCGCCCAATCAACAAAATCGTAGGCTCGAGTATCGTCTGCTTTCAATTTTCATTTTAGAAAAATTTCTAACTTCGTTGAACTACTGTTTAAATAATACGAATTTTTTGTGTTGTTTTTCTTGTAACTATGATATTTTGTGAGGACTTCGAGTTTTATTGATTAATTTGTAATGTTAAAACAATCATGGAGTGGGAAAATATATATATGTATTAATACATCAAATTAATCAATGGTAAATCAGTAGCCCAAGAGTTGACGGTAGGTAATGTTGACTAACTGCCTTCCATCTAGTCTATCACTGCGAAATTAGGAACGGCTAGTGCAGATGGCCCTTGTGTAGCTTTGTGCTAAACTCCAAACAAAACAAACTATTCAAATATGAAACTCACGACATTAGTTTATTTAGGAAATAGCAGTAAAAAGAAGCGTCTGTTATCTACAGTTTGATTCATTTTAACAATGAAGTTGTGTCCAGTTTCAGGATATAGTAAAAGTTGGACAAATGGATGTATGCACGAATTCGATCCGGAAAGGCAGAAGACGGATAAATGGATAAGTAGATATTACCGTGGATTTGAATTGTATGGTGTATTTAGATTTCAGTACGATTTTTACTGGGGATATTCGCTCACGCGTCAAAACTTGACCTGCATTGCCGGAATAATACGTTTAGGCCATTCAACTAGGTTCGAATTCGAGAACGGATTCATCCGCCCTCTCACACAAAATATATCCGTCTCATACCAAGAACTGGATACGTTATTTTTTATAAAGAAAAATGTTTTTTTATTGTTATGTTTTTTTTCCGCTGTGGGGAATCGAGCCCTGGATTTCAATGATGTAAGTCCGTAAACTTACTGCTGAAGGACGTAGGAAGAAGAAATCAACAGATAAATCACTATGGGGTGAACTTCTGTGATGCAATCTTCCTGTGGAATTATGGGTAGTTACATGAGTCCCGATAGTAACAACAATGTTTAATAACTCGTGAAATTGCCATGTACTGTAAACTATAATTATCTGTAGATCCTCTACGCCTCGTTTTGTCTATTTGACGTGTTAAAACTTGAAATAGATGACTGTGTTTGTGCCAGAATATATATGATGTACTTGTCCTTGAGTGCTGTACTCCTCGGCCTCAAGAAACTTTGTTATTCTGTTTCTTAGTAACTGGGGCTTGATTTTTTAGGCTATGTTAGTGAGGTTGTTTTGACTTAAATTAGATGCATGTAATAGTACTGTTGCTACAGCATAGTTACCTAGTTACGTGTTAGGGACCTTTCATAAAATTTACAACCCTTCTCAGAATACCTTGTCTCATTTTGCTGATCCACACCACCTCCTTCGATATGTACTCGCTTTCTCACACTATGCTATGAAGAAGCACTACACAGGACAGCTGGGCGTTTGGAACTGTTTGGTAAGTTCCTAATTATCACAATTTCAGAAATGATAATTAGTTGTCATGCCCAATTTCCGTCGTAATTGATACAATGTAACTTTTTATATTTACCATTTATATAGTTATATATATATAAATAGTTTTGTTTATAATTCGTTCCTTCTTATAGATATACACCTATCTTTCTTTTTCTATCTATCTATCTTTCTTTCTACTTACCAGGCCCGCCAACAGGGGGGAGGGCAAAGGGGCAACTGCCCAGAACCCGTGCGAATGAAACCTGGTTATGCCTTAAAGTCCGCAAAGCATCTT